AGGTCACATTCGTGAAAAGGGAAGGGTGTTGTAGTTACGACATAAGGAACATATCCGATATCATCTGTGAAACGGTTATTCCATAACGGTCAACCAACTCGTGATGGCGTCAGTAAAATTTACGAAGGGATGATTTCAACTACACCACTTGGAACTCTTGGTTTAATAGCTTCCTTGTGAGCAGCAATCCTCACATAATGATAACTAGTGTGAAGCTAGCCTGATACCTACTCACACCTGCATTATATCTCTTTTTTATAGTTGGTGCTGATATAATTCATCCATAAATAGTTGCTCATCTCTCTAGTTCGTAGCGAGTGATAATGATTTATTGAAATATTCCTTTTATAGAATACAATAGTTTATAAATAAATAGACTTTGCCCATGACCTAGTTAAAATCATGACTTCTGAAGGGATAATAAAAAATGTGATAAACATTTTTTGCAATTTCTACAAATTTGAAGATTTCAAGTATGTTGTGTTGTGTAACACTGTCAAACAAACAAATAACTGAATTAAAACCAAAAACTAGATGCTCTAAAGAGCCTGTGTCGCTCACCTTGGTCTATGTGCATATTCAACAAAGGACACTCTCCAACATTGAAGACAAAAATAGAATTCATAAGAAAAATCTCTGTTTTGCTGATCATTTAGTCTGTTTAGTTTCTCTCTTTCTTCTTTAGATTTTGCTCAAAATACAAAAGAGGGTAAAACAATTCCTTATTTAAGGGGCTGGGCAATCACTCCTATAAAGAGTGACAGCTTACTACCAGTATCAGCAAAATGTGACTTGTTAGTAGATCGGACGATTTCCTCTATATTGTCTTAATTGTAGATCTTATCTTGCTGATCATTTTTGCCTATTTAGGTTTCTATCTATCTATTATAATTTTTAAGAAATAAAGCAAAAACGCAAAATATTGTAAAAATCATCATCAAAGGGCAATAACTCTCATAAGGAGTAGGCTGACGATTTCGACAATGTAAAACTCTTTTGTAGAACTTGTCTTGCTGATCATTTTTGCAATTAAATATTTCTCTGTATCTATTACAGTTTTCAAGATAATAGGTAAAAATTTAAAAAATGGAAAAATTTGTCATTTAAGGAAAATAACTCCTATAAGAAGTCGTCTGACAATTTGACGTAAATAGACAGTTGATAGAGCTCAACATTCTGAACATGTTTGCCCTTGCCAGATTTTCTCTATTCATAATGGTTTTCAAAATAACAGACAAAATTGCATTTTACCTCTATGTTCTTTTTTTAGCCATGTCGGCCATGTTGGTCGGCAGGCGGGGTCATCGGACACATTTTTCAAACTAGGTACCATAAAGATGATTGTGACCAAGTTTGGTTAAATTTGTCTCAATAGTTTCAGAGGAGAAGATTTTTGTAAAAGATTACAAAAATTTACGAAAAATTGTTAAAAATTTACTTTAAAGGGCAATAACTCCTTATGGGATCAATTGACAATTTTGGTCATTTGACTTATTTGAAGATCTTACTTTGCTGAACAATTTTGCTGTTTACAGTTTATCTCTATCTATTATATTATTCAAGATAATAACCAAAAACTGCAAAATTTCTTAAAAATTAACAATTCAGGGGCAGCAACCCAACAACGGGTTGTCTGGTGCGTTTGAAAATTTCAATGCAGATAGATCTTGACTTGATAAACATTTTTACTCCTCAGATTTGCTCTAAATGCTTTAGTTTCAGAGATATAAGGAAAAACTGCATTTTACCCCCATGTTCTATTTTTAGCCATGTCGGCCATTTTGGTTGATAAACGTGGCCATCGGATACATTTTTTAAACTATATATCCTAAGAATGATTTAGGCCAAGTTTGGTTTAATTTGGCCTAGTTGTTTCAGAGGAGAAGATTTTTGTAAAAAATTACAAAAATTTACGAAAAATTGTGAAAAATTGACTTTAAAGGGAAATAACTCTTTATGGGATCCATTGACAATTTTGGTCATGTTGACTTATTTGTAGATCTTGCTTTGCTGAGGAATGTTGCTGTTACAGTTTATCTGTATCTATTATAATATTCAAGATAATAACCAAAAAATGCAAAATTTCCTTTAAATTACCAATTCAGGGGCAGCAATCCAACAACGGGTTGTCTGATACGTCTAAACATTTTAGGGCAGATAGTTCTTGACCTGATAAACATTTTTACTCCTCAGATTTGCTCTGAATGCTTTAGTTTCAGAGATATAAGCCAAAAACTGCATTTTACCCTATGTTGTATTTTTAGCCATGGCGGTCATTTTGGTTAATGGGCGGGGCCATCGGATATATTTTTTTAAACTAGATACCCTAAGGATGATTTAGGCTAAGTTTGGTTTAATTTGGCTCAGTAGTTTCGGAGGAGAAGATTTTTGTAAAAGATTACAAAAATTTACGAAAAATTGTGAAAAATTTATTTTAAAGGGCAAATACTCTTTATGGGGTCAACTGACAATTTTGGTTATATGACTTATTTGTTGATCTTACTTTGCTGAACAATTTTGCCGTTTACAGTTTATCTCTATCTATCATAATATTCAAGATAATAACCAAAAACTGCAAAATTTCCTTAAAATTACCAATTCAGGGGCAGCAACCCAACAACAGGTTTTCTGATGCATCTGAAAATTTCAAGGCAGATAGATCTAAACCTTGGTTGATAGGCGGGGTCGTCGGATACATTTTTTAAACTAGATACCCTAAGGATGATTTAGGCCATTTTTTTTTTTTTTTTGCCCAATAGTTTCAGAGGAGAAGATTTTTGTAGAAGTTAACGGACGACGGACGCCAAGTAATGAGAAAAGCTCACTTGGCCGTTTGGGCCAGGTTAGCTAAAAAAGGGGAATTAAATTTATTTAGTTAATCAAACCAAAGTGTCGTTGAGGTATATGTTGGGTTTCCAAGTGAATTGTCAATACCTTATTCATGTATCAAGCAGTTTATGTAATGTGATTTACACACAAATACGATGTTGTTTGGGGCTTTATCTGCGGGGACATCAACATATATGTCATGGAGGTAGAACAGGTGTTTTGCAACATTTGGGTCTTTAAGGTTTGATGTAGCATAGGTATTCATAGACCCATTCAGTTTTTTTATTCTTATTTGTATCAACAACCACACAGCCTTAATCCATTCGGAAGGTGTATCTATGTCTTCTTTCTCGCGTTTAACCCATTGTCTGGCATAATCCTAAATGTTCCTAAATAAAGCAGTTTATTTTCAGTTCTTCGAAATGTTTCAGTACCATACTTTTACAGTACTTGATTTGTAATTTCAAGTTGATAGTCATATATTTATGTTTTTGATATTTAGTACATTTTCATCACAAATTTTTTCGATCCAGTTCAGTACTTTTAAATATATATACACTTTCAGTTAAATGTTCCATCAAATTACAGTAAAAAAATAAATGCACCATGACTAAGATAAGATATTGTACAAATATGAAGATGTGGTATTATTGTCAATGAGACAGATATCCAGCAGAGACCAAATGACGTAAAATACAGACAACGGCCTTCAAAAATGAGCATCATCCATACTGTATATTTAGCTACAAAAAAAAAGCCTGTACAATATTAGGGTATATAGCACAGGCCCGGGACAATTTTACTGCATATATAAGTTTAACTTCGTCTGTGATTTCCTGTACAATGTACATATATAACGACATGTTTCGTCGTTTATGGTGCTATGAAATAACTGTATTGTATTGGCCCTGGTATACATTTTTGATCTACAGTTAATTTCATATCTGTACTATCTATACAAAAACAGTTAAAACTGTAGATTATAATTTCCAATGGCAAAACGTAAAGAAGATTTTTGTAGAGGTTAACGGACGACGAACGCCAAGTAATGAGGAAAGCTCACTTGGCCCTTTTGGGCCAGGTTAGCTAAAAAAGGGGAATTAAATTTTGTTAGTTAATCAACCAAAGTGTCGTTGAGGTATATGTTGGGTTTCCAAGTGAATTGTCAATACCTTATTCATGTATCAAGCAGTTTATGTAATGTGATTTACACACAAAAACGATATTCTTTGGGACTTTATCTGTGGGGACATCAACATATATGTCATGGAGGTAGAACAGGTGTTTTGCAACATTTGGGTCTTTAAGGTTTGATGTAGCAAAGGTATTCATAGACCCATTCAGTTTTTTTATTCTTATGTGTATCAACAACCACACAGCCTTAATCCATTCGGAAGGTGTATCTATGTCTTCTTTCTCGCGTTTAACCCATTGTCTGGCATAATCCTAAATGTTCCTAAATAAAGCAGTTTATTTTCAGTTCTTCGAAATATTTCAGTACCATACTTTTACAGTACTTGATTTGTATTTTCAAGTTGATAGTAATATATTTATGTTTTTGATATTTAGTACATTTTCATCACAAAATTTTTCGTACCAGTTCAGTACTTTTAAATATATATACACTTTCAGTTAAATGTTCCATCAAATTACAGTAAAAAAATAAATGCACCATGACTAAGATAAGATATTGTACAAATATGAAGATGTGGTATTATTGTCAATGAGACAGATATCAAGCAGAGACCAAATGACGTAAAATACAGACAACGGCCTTCAAAAATGAGCATCATCCATACTATATGTTTAGCTACAAAAAAAAAGCCTGTAAAATATTACGGTTATAGCACAGGCCCGGGACAATTTTACTGCATATATAAGTTTAACTTCGTCTATGATTTCCAGTACAATGTACATATATAACGACATGTTTCGTCGTTTACGGTGCTATGAAATAACTGTATTGTATTGGCCCTGGTATACATTTTTGATCTACAGTTAATTTCATATCTGTACTATCTATACAAAAACAGCCAAAACTGTAGATTATAACTTCCAATGGCAAAACGTAAAGAAAAACGAGCTATATTCATGTTAATTTTTTGTATATGGTCTATTTTTACCTTTATGATCTTTTAGTTATTTTACATTGATTTAAGGCATATGTCAGTCTGGGAAACAATGTTACAATGGCGGGAATTGTCAGTCATCAAACTGCATATGTCCAGATGGAGTTTTTGGAGACCACTGTGAATACACAGGTAACAACATATATGTATCTTGCAAATGAAAAAAAGGGGGATTGTTGTTAATAAGTGGTTTAATAACTTTTCAAGTTTGATATTTAGAGGTGAATATGTAAGCAGTACGTAGCAGTAATTTTGGTTTTTTGGAAAATTATAAAAATAAAAATTAAATTCATAGATAAATATTTTGCTTTCAACCGGTGTGCTTTTTTTATCTTTTGTTTTTTGTTATAGTATTTTGACCATTATTGCTCGTCTTAATATTTCTGAAATTAAAATGTAACTGGTTATTATTTACTGTTGTTTGCTACTTTGGCATATGAATAACTATGGTTATCTTATTGCATTTTACTAATTTATTATGCTATTTTCTTTCAGATATACGAGGTACTTCTTTTCTGCTCGTATTTCCTCAGACACAATACCCTGACTGCCAATCACAGCAAGCTCTCATAGGAACAAGACAAAATGGGATTTTTCACAAATTCTCTTTTTCCTCTCATTATAATACTTCAATACAATTCTCACCAAAGCTGTATACCACACACTTTAACAAAAGTATTGCTATGACGTCGGATGGCACATTTCTTCATGGTGTTGAATTATCTTTCAGTTCTAAAGTCAGTTTATATGCCTTGACATACTGTAATAAATCTACAGAGAAATACAGCGAAGGCTATATGGCTATACCAACTAATTTCCTATCAACAAAATACATTATTCCTATGTATACAGCTAATTCTCATTATGCTCTAATTGTAGTAGCAGCATTTAAACCAAACACTATAGTTAACATTTATCAAAAACGAAATAAAGCAAAATACACATTTAAAAACGTTGTCTTAAGTGCGTATGAAACCTACCAAATTTCAAACTCTTATGATCTTTCTGGAACTCTTATAACTAGTACTGAACCCATAGCTGTTGTGAGTGGCCATGTGGATAATTATGTAGCAGCTGGTGGCTTGAATCCTTTTATGGAAATGGTGCTACCATCAGATCAGTGGGATAGAGTTTATGTGATTCCTCATATAGCCAGACGGCCATCTAAGATTGTCCGAATTTATAGTAACCAACCAACAAATGTAACTGTGCATTATCAGTATAAAATAGAATCAAAATCTATTCCAGAGAGAAGTTTTATAGATTTTGATCACGGCGTGATATCGTATTTCAACGCTAGTAACGATGTTATGGTAATGGTATTTCCAAAGGGGCTTGCTGATTATTCCGGTGACTCCTATATGATGACAGTTCCGGGTATCAACCAGTACTTATCAGCATATGAGTTCGCGGTGCCTTCAGAATTTACCAACTTTATAAGCATCACAGTATCATCCAATGCCCGGGATGGATTTATTCTTGATGGGAACCCAATGAATCACGAGAACGGTAGTCATATCTTTGGTGGGCCGAATCATTATTCTACATTTACAATGCCAATCCATAGTGGTGTTCATCAGATCAGTCATACAGCCAACGTCCGATTTGGTCTGTGGGTATATGGTGACGGTCCAAAAGATGGTTACGGGTACCCGGCCGGAATGGCATTCAGGACCAATACCAAGTTAATCTGATTCAGCCGGAATAACATTACAGTTCAATAGAAATTAAATGTTATTACTTTTAGCTTCATTATTGATAATTGGTTGTGTAAGAGAAAATAGCAGTTTAAATTAATTCAATAAATGAACTTCCAGATTCAGTGGCAATATTCCATAAGATAGCCATTCATAGAACACACAGATAACTGTTCGTACATTCCGATTTTAGTACATATACTTCCCAAGACGAATTTAGTTCATCTGAGGTATCAAAATTTATGTTGTAAGAAGGCAGAATACTTATATAAGTAAATTATATACTCTGAATTTGTCTTAAGTAATTGGATGCATTCATTTATTTAACCGCATCGATGATCTTGTTGTAGCGGGAACGCATCGAGTGCAGGAGGTCTTTGGACGTAATCAATGAAAACAACACGTAACAAAGTTCATGCGTCCGAAGCGCTTTTCTGGATTAACCTTCATCAGGAACGATCAAAGCCGAATATTTGAAAGCCAAGGATGTATAAGACCCAAAACAGTCGTAGAGCTATATGACCAAAAAGGGCATAAAAAATAGCCAAATCCATCTAAGGTCAACTTTGTCAAATGATGCTAGGGCAATTTTGTAACATCAAAATTTTAGGGAAATATTATTTTCTAAGCATTTGTATATGATATCATACCCTGTGCAACGGTTTTCTTACTGGACATCTTTTACGGTCAGGCTGTGATGTGAATTGTACCCTAACAGAAAATGTACAGCTTAAAATTTGATTTTTCGATAGAGAGGCGAAGGATACCAAAGGGACATTCATAAGTCGAAAATAAACTGACAACGGCATGGCTAAAAAATAAAAAAGACTAACAGACAAACAACAGTACAAAAACACAACATAGAAAACTAAAGACCGAGCAACACGAACCCCACCAAAAACTGGGGGTGATCTCCGGTGCTCTGGAAGGGTAAGCATATCCTGCTCCACATGTGGCACCCGTTGATGTTCCTAATAGGTGTTAAACAACATACTTTTGATTAATAGTCCGCATTTCAAACAAAAATAATCATTGTTTTTGTATACACCCAAGAATGCATAATATCACTCAAAAGGAAAATGTTTGTAGTTTTTTCAGTAAATGCATTCAACATCTTTAAAATCGAAAGTACAACGTTATTGTGCATAAAGGCAACAGGGTTTCACGAACAGCTAAAACCGTCTGTTTGTGTTTAACTGTGCATGAGTAACAGTCTTATTTTATTTTAATTGCCTAATTGATGCACTGACAATTTAACAGAAAATGGAAAATTTACATCATGCCTTAGCAATGACTACTGAGAAAGAGGTACTCTTGTTAATTGATTGTTCACCAGAACTGTTATCGAGCCAATGAAAGTTAAAACTCATCAATGATACCAGCCTTACAACTTAGTACGCCAAATGCGTGTCTCGCCTACTTAAGTGTCATCAGTTAAAAAGTTAAAAATCATATGATACCAATTTCCGTTCACATAATACCTATTTGTGGTATGCTTTGGTACAGCTACGCTCGAGTCAAAATATTTGGAAATTGTTCACAGCATAAAAAAGAGCCTTATTTATATACATAATTAATTTTCTTTAAACGCAGTTTTAAAAGTATTAAAAAAATAAAAAAATAACTGATATTTCATTGTTCATTAGAGTATGCGTTCAAACATACAATTACTGAACTTAATTATCTAATGCAAATCTTAGTTATTTACAAAGTTCAGTCTATAATGTAACCTTAACTACGTTTTATCTTATATTTACGACGATTTATGAACCCACTTACTTTGAAAATATAGACACGTCGCAGATTTTATTGACTATCATTATGTAAAATTCCTTGTCTGATTATAGACGTGCTACATTGCTTATTGGTAATGATTTTTTTAGGTAAGTGAAAATTAAGTGATAATTATTTGCAGAACATTTATTACGAATTGTTAGAAAACATGGGAAAATATAAATTTTTTGTATGTTTTTGAGATGACACTTTACGGTTTTGTCATATTTGGTCTCCATAACCTTTATTCACTTAGACGTTTTTTACTTTTGACTGTCCAAATTGTTGGTCAGTATTTACCCTATTTAGGGTTTCCAGAAATAGGTGTTGTGTGCACAGAAATCGTATAATTTCTTATTGGTCTTTAAAAATTCATACAAGAGCTTCTATCCTATTAAACTTGAAATAAAGGAAAAGTTAGGTCTGCTTCGTATTATGACTTACATCTAGAAATTGACAATAACGTTCGGTTGAGATCAAAACAATGCAGCTTCCAAATTGTGAACTGTCCATTTCTATGTAGCAACATTCCAGTAGCGCCTTGTACTGACATGAGCAACACGACGGTTTTCACATTGTAGAGCACGCGATTTGCTTAAAAGTTTCAAATGAATGTCTTCAACTAACCACTTAGAATTATACAATCATTGCTTAAACTTATGTTCATTTTTTCAAGGCATATAGGAATTTGGTTGGCATGACTTTTCAAAATATATATTCAACATCTTTTGCAAATATACTCTTTACCTGTAACACCATTCCATGTATCTCTCAAAACATAATTATCAATACCAAATCAAATATCACATTTAAATCAATACGACAGTAGTTAACCGATGTTAAAATCTCGCAAATCCATTAGGAAGAGACAATTCAAAGCAACAAAAAAGAAAACCTGAAGTAATCGCAATAACTCCAAAAGGATCGAAACCGTGTTTGTCGACAGGGTAAGGGTCTATATGTATACATGCATCACCCGCAATGCGAAATCCCACTCAGTTAAAAAGTCGAAATCAGGAACAATCATCAAAACCACAGACCACTGGTATTTGAAAACATGTCGCTTGTGAGTTAAAACACATTGTATCAGACAAACAATTTATCATAATGACCGTAAACCTTATGTAGTGTCGATTTCAGTCGTTCCTCCTCATGACTCTGTTGGAGCAGTTTTTTGCGTAAGGAGAACGCCCATGTTAATGAGTCCGTATTATGTGAACATGCACGAGCGTAGTGTCTTAATTGAGATATCAAACGCTATACCATGGAGCAGAGGGTATGTTACTGCTGCGAAAAGGGAAGATGGCAATTGGAAAGTTGAAATCATCATTTGTTTTAATTCGATGATTCACTATTATCACATAAAATGTACACTTATAGCTCTTCAACTGTTTCGGTAGTTATACATCCCTCGGATTTCAAATGTTTGGTATTGAGCGTTCCTGATGAAGGTAAATCGAGAAAAGCGCTTCGGACGCATGAAATTATTAAACGTGTTGTTTTCAATTTTTTTCAAAAGTTTCTGCCTCTGAATTGATTTTTCTTGAGATACCTTCTCAGGAACACTCAACTAGAAAAAAAGAAATGCCAAGGATGTATAAATACTGAAATACTTCAGAAGCTATATGACCAAAAATAACCCAAATAGTATAGCCAAAAGCTCAGCTCTGTTGGAAGGAGTTGGAATCTTGATTTCCTACTAATTTCTAAATCTTTAAACGGATAATTTAGAAAAAAAGGTATGTCATAGATTGTATCAATGCCGAAGCATTGACGATCGATTATCATACCATCGACGACTATTAAACCATCAAAAGTAGTATCGACCCGATTATGAGCATAACCTATGCCGTATGGTAAGATAAATAGGCTCTCGAATAGCAAAAAAATGTATATAATTAAAAAGGGGACAACTACCGATTTGATTTAAGGAAATAAAATCATTTGACGAAAAACAATTATGTAGATCATCAACTCCTGCAACCAATGGTAAAAATATTCCTGATTTGGGAAAGGCACATAACGGGTGATAAAGAATGTAAAGGCTGTGTGTAAGTGCTACCCCTAAACCTGGCACACTAGTTTATATATAATTTATTAAAATAGTTTGATCAATAACACCATTCCATAGATTTAATATTTAATTTAACATTCATTTTTGTTATTGTTCAATCAACAATTAATTTTAACTAATTCACCGAAAAGCAAAATAAGGGTAACAATCTTTAATCTAACATTGCAAATTCGACAAGTCAAACACTTTTTGTTCATTTTGTAGGGATTTTGTGTATTGTTAGTGCACTTTCACTATCAAATGGTAAGTTAATAATTTTATTGTTTAGTATTTTTGATTACTGATTAAATTTTATAACTAATTTAATAATTGGACAAAGTTATATGAGTTTTTTTTATATATTAATACTAGTAAACAAGTGTCAGCAATAATTTTATATTCAATCATCATTATATGAAAACTATAGAAACTGAACCCCTTATATATTTTCACATGCATAATAAAAAAGCAAATTTAAAGCGTTCTTTGAGATCAGATATATATATGAAGAAACAAATTGTAATGACAAAATTGATGTTAAATGTATTCTATCTAATCCTTCTTGAAGCTCAGTTAACGTGATTGATATTTTTAACTATGTTACTCGGCGTACACACAGTAATGGTCATAGTCATAGTCATGAATTCTCTACGAAATGTATTAGCTAAAGGGCAGAAACACAGTGAGCTTATTAATAAGTCCATAAACTTTAAACACAACTCTAAAAATAATTATGGATTCAGTCGAGTCAAGAGTTTTTTGTGAACTTACCTACGCTATGGGTGGTGTGAGGCAGATATGGATATTAAACACATCAATTCTTATACAATAGTAGAAACACATTTCACTGTTATTCTCTTTACACTTGCATTTTTCATTCTAAACTAAAAGATATTTAAAAAGAATTAGTCCTACTTTGTTTTATTTAACAGAATGGCCAACGCAGATCAGATATCTTGTTTAGAAAGTGAAAAATCAAAATTAAAAAAAAAAAAAAAACACCCAGCAGAAATTTAACTGAAAATGATATCTTCACGTTTGGAGGGCGAAAACAATCGGCAATTCTATGGGAACCAACTGTGCCCCTCTGCTTGTCGACCTGTTCCTTTATTCTTATGAAACGGACTTCATATAGACAATTCTGAAGAAATATGAAAAGAAGCTGGCCTTATCCTTAATTTCATTTTCCGCTATATAGATGATGTCATCTTACT